ACCTAATTTTGTAATACATAAATATTTTAAGTCACTTTTGAAATACATTACGTTAATAGATTACGATTTCTTCTAAATTTACTTTTTTCTGTATCATAATTAGTTCTCATTAAGACACCCTGAATATACTGTAATATGGTAACTGTAATATGGTATGTGTTATTAAACATTATAAAAATACAAAAGAAGACAAAAAATTTCCAAATCAAGACAAAAATGTACTTATAAACTTATAAATTTACATTCAAGAAATGAAAATATCCTACCAAGGCACTAATGGAATAAATTGTACTTATAGTTAATTAATATTTAATTAAATAAGTACATACAGTTCATACCAAATATACTTTTAGTCACGTGATTAAGCTTGACCGGCATAGTGTTGCCCACTTTTATATATTTTCTTTTAATCAAAATAATTTAGGAAACTAAACTAAATTAATTATAAATATACAGGGTGGTCCGAACTGTATTCCGGAAACTTCGGCAGCATATTCTGCAGATAAAAATGAGTAAAAAAGTTCGTATATGTTTTAAAGTGCTTACTTTCAGAGATACAGGGTGCAGAAGTTTCATATATATTGCGATTTTTCCTAAATAATTTCTGAAGTAACGTGAAAATTGGTGTCTGGGAGTTTTTTGACACGAGAAATTTGATTTTGGTGTCATGATGGCCTCTACTAGTAGAGGGCGCCACCTACAAGTGTTTTAACTGTTTTAAAGCGTAATAACTTTTTGTCCGTACCTGTATAAAACTACCGAGCGAAAAAATATACATCTCTGTGACTTTTTACGTAAAAAATAGCTCTTTGTAAAAATCGTTACGAGCAACCGTTCTTAAGATATTTAGAATGGAAATAGACAATACATGTCATTATTGACGAAACATAAACACGTTGAGTAGATAGTTATTTCACTGAAATAATAAATTTAGTAAATTTTTAGTTTTTTAAATTAATCATTAATTTTTCTGCAAAAAATGATGATAAAACAGTTTCTGTTGAACTTTTGGCATACAAAAATTTGAAATTTATGATTTCAGTCTAATAACTATTTAGTCAACATGTTAATTTATGTCAATGATGACAGGTAATTGATAATTTCGATTCCAAATATCTCGAAAACCATTACTCGTAGCGATTTTTACCAAGAGACCTTTTTCACGTAAAAAAAAGTCGTAAATGTATATTTTTTACTCAGTAGTTTTATACAGGTACGGACGAAAAGTTATTACTTTTCAAACCAGTTAAGAAATATGTAGGTGGTGCCCTCTACTAGTAAGAGTCATATTGACATCCAAATTTCTCATGTCAAAAAACTCCCAGACACCAATTTTCATCCAAATATTGACGTTACTTCAGAAAATAGTTGGAAAAAAATCGAAATAAAAATGAAACTTCTACACCCGTATCTCCGAAACTAAGCATTTTTGGACATACATTTATACGAACTTTTTTACTTATTTTTATCTGCAGAATATGCTGTTGAATTCAATATATATACTAAATATATCATGAGAAAGCCATTGGAACATTGGCAAGGGGGGACAACAATTAATGGTCACAAAATTACCAACCTCAGATTTGCAGACGATACGGTCCTTCTAGCGGGAAACGAGGAAGAGTTACTGCAGCTTCTAAAATTGATTGAAGACGAAAGCGAGAAACTTGGACTTGAAATTAATCCCTCTAAAACAAAAATTATGATTATCGACAGGCAAAACAACAACAAACCTGATGTAGTGAGTATTGGTCGTTTTGAGGTTGTAAGTCAATGTATATATCTTGGGTCACTTATAAACAACACGGGATCGTTAGAAGGGGAAATAAGAAGAAGATGTGAAATGACAAAAGTGGCAGTGCGAAAACTCTCAAAGATATGGCGAGACAAAAACATATCTAAACACTTAAAAAAAAGGCTTGTTCACTGCCTAATATTTCCTATATTAATGTATGGCTCCGAGTCCTGGACGATAAGATAGTCAGAAATGAAAAAAATTGATGCAACTGAGATGTACTGTTGGCGAGGAATGCTCAGAATTCCCTGGACTACCCGGCGAACCAATGAATCCATAATCCAAGAACTGAACATCACAGAACGCCTCTCAACTTTTATACAGTCACGTATACTTAAATATTTCGGTCACGTTATGAGGAGAGATACTGACTATGGAAAAACTCATTATACAGGGCAAGGTTCCGGGAAGAAGACCAAGAGGCCGCTCGCCCTCCCGATGGATAGACCAGCTACAGTACGTCTGCTGGATCTGTGTCTATGAAAGGAATGCGGACAAAAAACATTTAAATAAACAGCAATATATTTTATACGTCGACTTGACGAGTACGTCACCGCAAATCGCCCCGCCCACTCATTTTATTGGCTATTTGCAAATTTGTCGAATTTTTATTGATGGGACGCGTCGTCTAAATTTTTTACGAAAAACATCGAGAGAATATCGTTTCCCCTCTCACGGATACCCCGTAGCTACAGAACGGACAGACGTACTGTATCAAAGATCACCCACAGGCCACTGCACACGCTTGTACATGAAGCACAAGACAGGGAATTATGGAGACAAACCTCACACATCACCTGACCACTACATTCCTCTTGTAGGAATAAAGACAGAGAGAGAGAGAGAGAGAGAGAGAGAGAGAGCGAGAGATGCTGCCGAAGTTTCCGGAATACAGTTCGGACCACCCTGTATAAACAGTTATTATTTACATCAACAAAAGTCACCTTCTTAACAGCACTTAAAGGACATAAAGGGTCATTACTACCGCTTTTCCGTTCAAAATATTCTAATAAATTTGCAATGAGTTTTTTACGGCTTTTAAGATATCTTGTACACTTCGCACTAAAAGAGGTTCTAAAAAGAACAATGTTCGACTGCAAGATTTGCTATAGTCTATAAAATGAATAACTTTGAATTTTGACCGTTATTTTTTACCAACATGACAAATATAAAATACCTCTATCAATAAAGTTACTGATATTCTTTAAATTGAGTGACTGAACGAATCAGATAGGTAACTCTTTTTACTTTCGTGAAATAGAAAAGGAAAATTATAAAACAAGTCACAGTTCTGCCTCTTCTTGCAAAAATCAACACGAAATGGAATAATTGTCAAAAGTCAAATGTCATCAGCTTTTGGCATTTCTAAATATCAGACCAATGCCGTCTCTAATAGAACAGCCACGGAGGGAGATTTATGACGTCACGCTAGTTAGATAATACGGATTAATAAATATGTTGTAGAATACATGGAAAACATAATTATTCCTCGTGTTTTTGGTTTGTATTTTAAAAATGATATAGTTTACATGAAATATACATAATATACAGTTAATAAATACAATATATTATATACCTATTTATAGTAATAAATACTTTGGCAAATAAACTATGAACCATACAAATGCAGCAAATGTTTTACAATATACAAATAATGAATAGGTACATAAGATAATGGGTAAAATGTAAAATATATTTTAAATTATGGTTTGAAAATCGATTTAATTTAACAAAAAAACATTCAATATCTACTAATAGTGATGTATTATTATTTGCATTCACAAAATTTATATGTATATTGTGCAAGTATTAATGTTCGAAAAATTATATTTGCAAATAATACAATATCAGAGAAAAAAAGGCGCCAGAGATGGCTATGAAATAAAGATCGCTGTCATTTTATATGTAAAATTATTCTAAAATTTTTTATTTTCTTGGGATTTAGGTTCGGGAAAAACGCTGATTAAGTTGTCATTTGGTTTTTCATTATTTTTGTTGGTTTAAAATTAAAAAAAAATCATATGACACAGCACTGATTAAGGCTATAATGTCAGCCGAAACGTTTTTTTTAAACCAAAAAAAAAATAATGAAAAACCAAATGAAAACTTAATCAGCGTTTTTATTTATTAACTATATATATATTTTTATATTAACTTATTTATATTAACTGTACATAACTGTATATTATGTATATTTCATGTAAACTATATCATTTTTAAAATACAAACCAAAAATACGAGGAATAATTATGTTTTCCATGTATTCTACAACATATTAAACTGTAGTATGTAACTAGCGTGACGTCGTAAATCGCTGTTCTATTAGAGACGGCATTGCGTCAGCATAGCTGCAAGTTGCTAACCTAATAAAATTAACACTAGAAAAGCCCGCGGGAACTGTCAAATTCAAAGTTATTCGTTTCACAGACTATAGTAAACATTTTTAAGCTTAAAGTATCACAACGCTATTTATTTAAACTAAAAACTCATAATAAAAACTGAAGTGTCAAAACGAATGACAATGTCAGGAAATAAATAAATAAATAAATACGGCAACTTGGCATATTTTACAGCAGAGCTGCCACCTGAATCACCAGCGGGGAATTTATATTCCACTTAGACAGCACAGCGCCGAATATATCCATGGTTGGCAACATTAATTTAAAAATCGCGCCCTCGATGACGTAACTTAAAGTTTATTTGATATGAACCGTACTTTGAACTCTCATAAATGATCATTAGTCTATTGATTATTGCACTCAAAAATTGCTATCCCTAATTTCTATATACTAAAGAAAATTTCTAACTACTTACAGATTTAAATTTTCAGTTCATTTCATTAGTAAATGATCATAATCAACCATGATCAACAGAAACTATACAGGTTGATCCGAACTGTATTCCGGAAACTTCGGCAGCATATTCTGTTGATAAAAACAAGCAAAAAAGGTCGTATAAATATATGTCCTAAAATGCTTAGTTTTGGAGATGGGGAGAAACAGGGTGTAGAAGTTTAATTTTTATTTCAAATTTTTTCCAAATAATTTCTGAAGTAAAGTCAATATTTGGATGAAAATTAGTATCTGGGAGTTTTTTAACATGAGAAATTTGATTTTGATGTCAAAAATATAAACATCAAAATTAAATTTCTCATGTCAAAGAACTCCCAGACACCAATTTTTATCCAAATATTGACGTTACTTAAATATGAAACTTCTACACTCTGTATCTCCGAAACTAAGCATTTTAGAACATACATTTTAAAGAACTTATGAAGTTTTACTTATTTTTATATACAGTTCGGACCACCCTGTATAAAAATTGCCTACAGTGACTTCAGATTAAGTAAAATTAAATTGAAATTTATTGGTTGTCCAGAAAAAATAATTTAGCTTGGCTACGAAATATAAAATGAACACCCATAGTTTCGGTTAGTTTTAGCGCCCGCCATCAGGAGGCTGACTAGATTGATTACGAAGTGCTGGCAGAATCCACAGCAGCACGTCTTCCCCTCCATTCCACCCATACAAACGTTATGGTACCCAAAATGGAGGATACTAAAAGAATGCCTAACTGACCGTATAAATTCAGATACGATGCGTAGGCGAAACTAATAGCTGCTGCTACTGACTGAAAATGAAATTAAGAAAATAAGTCAATATATACAGGGTGGGCCACTGAAAACTTACAATGGCTATAATTTTTAAACCAAAAAAGATATCAAAAAAAAATAAAAAATACCGTTTCTATAATATCGAGGGGGAATACATATGACGTATTTTTTGAATCACCCCGACCTACCCCTAAGGCGGCACCACTACTCACTTGAAAATCTTAAATGGCAATACCCCACTTGTGGCGCCTTTTTGGAAAGCCTATGAAAAATGCTAAACGATGATCATAAAGTTTTAAGGGTGAAATTGAAAAACTACCCCTTACACGAAAAATTAGGTGGACATTAATGAGAAAAGTGATTTTTTCAGCATAAGTTACAAATTGGGATCCAGCTAAATGAGGTTTTTTTCAAACTATCCCGACCCACCCCTAGGTGCCACCCCCTCAATTCTAACCTCAAGATAGCGATACCCCACTTGTGGGACATCTTTGGACAGCGTATAAAAAATGCTGAACGACTGTCATAAAAAAGAACGAATAAAATAGAGCCTAAAAATAAAAAAAATGTCAAAACGTGTCAAAATCAATAGAATGAATTATTTTTGTATCCATGAACCATTGCGAGAAAAAAAAGCTGGTACAAAGAAATTTATTATAACGCTTAATGAAGACCTCATACACTTTCAGCAAGATGGAGCCCCTTCGCATTATTCTATTGTCACAAGGCGGTGGTTGGATAAATATTATCCAAGGCAATGGATTGGCAGAAAAGGTCTAATCGAGTGGCCGCCAAGGTCACCTGATCTCACTCCTTTAGACTTTTCCTTGTGGGGTTACACTAAATCCATAGTCTACAAGAAAAAACCAGGTTCGTTGCAAGAATTTTTTTGCAAGGACTTCCCAAAAAGTGAGAGAAGAATTTGAAAATCGTTTGTATTTTTGTATGGAATAAAATGGCTGTCATTTTGAGCAATTATTAAAATAAATTATCATTTTAAATTTCTTTCAAATTATCACACCTACATTTCTTGTCACTAACCAGTAATTAAGTTGAAGTCTGTATGACCATCGCTTAGCAATTTCAATTAGCTTTCCAAAGAAGTGTCACAAGTGGGGTATCGCTATCTTGAGATTAGAAGTGAGGGGGTGCCACCTAGGGGTGGGTTGGGGTGGTTTGAAAAATACTTCATTTGCGTCATTTAGCTGGGTCCCAATTTGTAACTTATACTGAATTTTTTTTTTTTCGTTAATGCCCACCTAATTCTTCGTGTAAGGGTAGTTTTTCAATTTCACCCTAAAAACTTTAAGATCATCATTTAGCATTTTTCATGAGCTTTCCAAAAAGACGCCACAAGTGGGGTGTTGCCATTTAAGATTTTCAAGCGAGTAGGGGTGCCTTCTAAGGGGTAGGTCGGGGTGGTTCAAAAAATACATCATATGTATTCCCCCTCGATATTATAGAAACGGTATTTTTTATTTTTTGATATCTTTTTAGGTTTAAAAATTATAGCCATTGTAAGTTTTCAGTGGCCCACCCTGTATATATAAAAATAATAGGGTTTTTCCATAGACTTAAAATAAAATATAGACTACACTATTTACATCTCAACGCGGACAAACAACCTTTTTTGTACACATGTTTACTTCTGGGTACAGTCGACCGAGCCTTCCTCATCCAGCCTATGTTGTCACGTCTTTAATATTATCAATATTTTTTTTCTTGTTATACACATATATTGAGATATTAATACTACAGTTTAATAAAGTAGGTTTTAATATTCCATAGATGTATTAAATAGTCCTTATACTACTAAATTATAAGTCGGATACTGTTTAATAAGGATAAGTCTTTACAATATGACAACACCGATTAGAGGCGAGGGAGCCTATTCATTCATTTATTACCTTGTAGTACGTGTCGCACGTGTGCCGTAAAGCTTTGTTGCCGCTATCTCCCCCGGCTGTATTAACGCATTTTCTTAGCTTGTAGTCCTTAAGTGTTTATTTTATTGACTTTTTCTGTTCAAAAACTATAAAATATGGTTCGCCAGTGCCAAATTTGCAAGAAATTTGACTTAAATAATCCATTTAAGTCTTGAAACGACTTTTGACCGGTAGGCAACTCTCAATTTACCCATTGGGAGTCAGTGGCGTTGTTCTTTCTACAACAACGCGCTTATTTAGATAATATTTTAGTAAAATGTAAAATCTGAATTTTTTCTTTTACATTACATTATTTACTTACTTACATTGTAACAAAATCATAATTATAACCCTGTTAATAATTAATAATGTTTTTATTAAAAATATATTCCGGTTTATTCTAAAATTATCTTCAGAATCTAAAATAACATACAAGAATTTTAAAATGATATTACATTATGAAACAATATTTTTTAATATACCGGGTCGTCTGAAAAGTGGCTCACCCCTATAACTTTTTTTATTTTTTCAGATAAAAAAACAGATTTGTATGTTAGTAGGTATATGACATAAATTAGGATTTATTGACGTATTCAATTGTTTTTGGTCTCTTCCTGTTTCACCGAAATGATTACATTATTGGATTTTTAAAGGCACCCTCGGTATATTGCTACTTTATTCGATAAAAAATGACACTCTGAATAGAATGACATATCATATGTCAACTTTTGACATTGTCGCTTAAAAACATATCCTATTTTAAATTTCAATCCAGTTTTTTTCAATCCACTAAGTTTTAATCAAGGAGCCTTGGAAAAATAGTTTTGATCGTCTAATAGGTTTCGTGTCTTGTCTAGGCCGGTTAAAAGATGTACAAATCGTATTTTTAATCATACATATGTCAATTTTTTCAAATGGAACAAGGGTGACTCATTAGCATATTTGGAAAAAGCATTTTTTTATGAATATATTGATACCACACACTTGGTATTTCGAGTCAAATTGTCGTTATGAACCGCGTGTTACAATTACAATTAAACCATATGCGAAAATGTCAAAAGTTGACATATGGTATGTCATTCTATTCAGAGTGTCGTTTTCTATCGAATAAAGTAGAAATATACCGTTTAAAAATTAAGTTATAGTCATTTCCGGTGAAACAGGAAGTGACCAAAAACAATTGAATGCGTCAATCAATCCTAATTTATTTCATATACTAACATACTAAATCTTGTTTTTTTATTTGAAAATATAAAAAAATTATGGGGATGAGCCACTTTTGAGACGCACCCGGTATAATAAAGACAGTACCGAGTTAAATAAATGTAGTTTTTATTTTATCCACTTCCTATCACCTTCCTTGCTTTAATGGAACAGATTTATGTTTTCTCTAATTTACATAATAAGACATCATTTAACCAGAAAAAAAATTACAACAATCATATTTTTTTTTCTCTCCCTGTCGCCGATTCTATTATATCTGTGGAATAGATCCTGTTTTGATTAATATTAGGGGTTGTAAATGTTTGACTAAAATTAATAATTTATTATTAATTTCAAAAATTACCTAATTTCGATTATAAAATTTCTTCTATAACGTGTATTTTATTATTTTTATCCTTTTGGACTCTAAATTGTTTTTTCTAAACTTTTATTTAAAAAACCTGTCCTAAATCTTAATAAAATATAAAAAGTTTAAATACGATATATTTTTAATTTAATTATAGCTTCATTAAAATAAAAAAATTACCCGGCTATGATACGGAGAGTTCAGGTGTACTTGAGAAACGAAAGACAGTGTTGTGTTTCTCGGCAGAGTCGTCAGGGAACGACCGTTACGACAGAGACAACCTATCTATCGCTCGTGTCGCACTCGTTATAACCTAAAACAATAACACAACAATAACAAGACAGTGTCTGACCGCATGTTCCAGCTATTTATGAATGAGATGCTCAGTCTATATTTTATTTTAAGTCTATGGGTTTTTCTATTGGTAAAATTGCGTGCTAAGTTAAAAAAAAATTCTAAAAATAGATTAACACTGTTCTGGTAAATTTAAAAGTAAGAATGTAAGTGTCGTATTATCAAAAAAAATGTTATGATAAAGTGATCTTTTGCAAGTGAATACTCAAATACCTCCAATAAAATTTTCTATTATAATTTTTTATTTGTCATCGATCAAAGCCCGCGACTTTCAAAGCTAAGAAAGGAGTTTCAATGCTTTGAATATGTTTGACTTCAACTCCGGTTTATCAGACGCGTTAAATTTTTCAGGTTAAATAATAAAATAGGGTATGCTTTTTTTAGTTAGTTTTCTATATAAAAAATAAATACGATAATGTAATTGAGGGGTTTCTGGCAAAAACCCCATTAGTCAGATATTTCGAAATTTGGAAAAACTAAAAAAAACGTATATCTTGCTCCCATTTAAATTTAAATTGTCGTTTTTTTTTTGTGTGAGCTCTGGTTATAATCTGAAATTACAGAAAACTAGTTTTCTTTATTTTTTTCTTATTTTTAAGTTAGGAAGGGCGTGAATTTGTTTGACTTGTGGGGTTTTTGCTGGAATTTTGGCAAAAACCGGAATTACGGTATTTTTGATCGTATATGCCACAGGCTGACTTATAGCACTTTTCCCGAATTCGTTTGGTAGGAACGTTATGACTAACAAATTACTGTCGGATAGCGCCATTAACTCATTTTACCCATTTTTGACTAATGGGGTTTTTGCCAGAAACCCCTCAATTATTTGATGATATAGATACTCAAAAAGAACAACTGTTTTTAAGTGTGACATCATAGAATAGATATAACTCTTAGCCAACACGTCACTAATTGCTGGCTGAACATAGGTTTTTGCATCTTACTGCAATTATATTCTGTATATTCTTTCTCTATACTTTATTAGTATACCGATTTGGTCATCGAAACTGTGCAGTCTGGATTTTAACACGTAAGACAGTGATGTAGACAGCTTAATGAAAAATAAAACGTATTAAAAAGAGATAAAAATTGGGTCGACATATTTCTTCTATGTTCGGATTTTGTATCAAAATTTCAAACCGAAACAAAAATAAAGTAGGAACTTTATTTTTCACTATTAGCTACTCATTTTACTACTAGCTGTGATAGATTATATTTAGTTTAGATATATTATCATCATTTCAGTAGTATATGTACATGAAAGTTTTTAAAAATAGCTTATATTTTTCTAGACACTGTTCTACAAATGTCAAAAAATCGTCAACATTGTATGCCGCTTTTGATTTTGTCTCTCTGTCTGTCAACCGGTCAGTTATATTATCTCTGTCACACTCATTAAAATCCAAACCACATAAATGGATGACCAGCAGGGTATAATAATAAAAAAAAAATAAAAAGGGTATAATATAATAAAAAAAAAATTCTGAAAATTCTGAACTCAAATATTATAATCAGTTACTAATCAGTAATCACCAGTCAAGATCAATCAAGATATACAATAAGTTAATACCGGGTGCTCCTCAAAAGTGGCTGACTAAAAGTGGTTTGTATATGACATAAATTAGGATTGATTGACGTATTCAATTGTTTTTGGTCACTTCCTGTTTTACCGGAAATAATTACAACTTTTGATTTTTAAATGACACCCTCGGTATATTTTTACTTTATTCGATAGAAAATGAAACTCTGAATAGAATGACATATCATACGTCAACTTTTGACATTTTCTCTAGAGTGCCATGGCTGTGTTAAAAACACTAATTTTTAATCAAGGAGCAATAGAAAAATAGAATTGATCGTCTAATGTTTTTCGTATCCTGTCCTGGGCAGTTAAAAGAGCCCCAAATCGTATTTTTAATCATATCTCAATTTTTTCAAATGGAACATGGGTGGCTCATTAGCATAATTGGAAAAAAGCATTTTTTCCCGAATAATTTGGTACCACACACTTGGTTTTTCGAGTCAAATTGTCGTTATGAACCGCATGTTACAATTTCAAGTAAGCCATATACGAAAATGTCAAATGTTGACATATGATATGTCATTCTATTCAGAGTGTCATTTTCTATTGAATAAAGTAAAAAAATACCGAGGGTGTCATTTAAACATCAAAATTTGTAGCCACTTCCGGTGAAACAGGAAGTGACCAAAAACAATAGAATACGTCAATCAATCCTAATTTATGTCATATACTAACATAGGTACTAAATCTCGTTTTTTATATAAAAAAAATAAAAAAGTTATAGGCGTGAGCCACTTTTGAGACGCACCCGGTATAAAAATGTTATTATATTTTATCTCTCCGAGATCAAATACAGTATCAATAATTGTAGAAACACCAAATTGTACTTTAGAATATGTAATACAGGGTGTTTCAAAAAACATGTGCCATATCTCGTGGGAAGATTCCTCGCGCAAAAATAAGATTTATCTTTTACATCAACATAGGGTCGATTCTTCTTTGTTTTGTAGCTACAGGAGGTTAAAGTCTTAATTTTTTGCATTTATTATAATTTTCGTCTAAGTGTTTTTAGCGATTCGAATGAAATTTTGAAAATAAAAAGTTACTGTAAGTGCTACTTGTGGTGCTACTTATTTTAATGCTAAGAAAGTATCGACAATTTCACTAGGGACTTGCATACAAGTTATAACTGGAATATTTTTCTAAAAAATCTGTACGCCACTGACTTTTTCTTTTATTAGCAGAGTTCCGTCGGCTGTTTAATGCCGATTAAAAGCTTTCTCATTATATTTCGTCGATTTCTGTCTCCTTGACGAGATAAACACAATTTTATTAATTTGCCTAAATCCAAGTCTAATAATAACCTTCATTTTTTTAATGTCAATAACTACCCAAAGTGTTAATAAAGTACACATTGATTCATCATCAAAAAAATATGAAAAAATGTTCCTATAAACATACGTGCGAAAATGTATAGTTTTGAAGTTACAGGATGTTAAAACTTTTAGAAAAATAGGTCTATATTGTAACTATTTTAAATACCATTATTTTTTTGAATACTGAACATCATTGTTCTTTGTTTTAATAAAATTTAATAATAAATTAGGTTAAATAAATAATTTATTCATTTTATGTTTACTTCAATTTTATTAATTGTGATTAATAAAATTGCATTTATGCATCAAGGAGATCGAAATCAACAAAATATCAAAATAAAACTTTTTTGTTACACAAACGAGAGAAAAAAAGTCAATGACGCAGATGTTTTTTGTTGAAAATTATTGCATTCGAATCGCTACAGGGGCTTGGAAGGAAATTATAATAAATGAAAAAAAAACTTTAACCCCCGTAGACTATGAAACAAAGCAGAATCGGACTTATGTTGATATAAAAAATAAATCTTATTTTAACGTGAAGAATCTTCCCACGAGAGATACATGTTTAAAAAAACCCTTACCACCACTTAGCGTTAATGATTGTATCTATAAATATAAAATGCTACAAAAAAATCAAACATACCTGAGTGAATTTGAAAATGGCAAACGCTGCCGCACTGTCGCTGGCGTACACACCACCCAACACCGAATAAATTTGGGTGTTGTAGCAAGCGTCGCCCAAGCCTAACAGGAACGAACATAAAATGGCCAGATAGGCATTACTGGTGATAAATGCCGACGTGGTTGTAGCTCCGAAAGGGGCATCTATCGGCAAGTTCAAAAAGATGATGAAGAAACTGGCAACGTGGATGACGAATCCCGCTATGACGATCGGGTCCCGTCCCCATCTGATCGTCCTGTTACCCAAAATACCGAAAGCGGCACCACCTAAAGAATAATTTATTGAGAAAGTATAACAATAAAAATTCTAATGAAGTTTAAGAAATATAGTTTTTCTAATTTTGACATTTAAAAAGAAATTTTTTATCTGACAAAAAATGGCATTTTTCTTTGACGTTTTGAAAGACGTGTCATTTCGAAACTAGTTAAGAAATATTTATCTTTTCACAACTATAGTCCGCCCAACAACGGATTTCGACAGACGACATCCAAAAAATGACAGAAAATACAATTTGCCTATTTTATAAAATCATCATCGATTGGCATTACCCAGCCGCTTTTGACGCCGTTTTTTATTTCGATAGTACGGTAGAATAATAATGTCGGACCATTGAGGGCAAATACTATAGACATAAAAATCACAGAAGAAGAATCGCCCATCTATATGTATTTCTTATAGCTATCTCTACTTTATCTGATTTTTTATATATACCTAATACTTCGCCAAGACCTATAAAAATCCCCGAGACTCCAATAAGTTCCTTGCTACGAGGCATATTTGTAGTTGATCCTATAGCTGAACTGTATACACCGCTCCAAAATCCTAATTCCAAACCTAGTGTGAAAGATGATTATTACTAAAAAATACTTTAACAATATAAATACTGAATAAAATACAATTACCAATAATACAATAGAGGGTTCAGCAATAGTGCGTCGGGCATCTGTAGCTCTTATAATGAACAAGTGTATGTATATTATTGCATTTTGGCTTCCTTTTTGATCACTTTACATAATCCTAAGGTCTATACTAATATACAGGGTTGTTCACCACATACGACACGGAGTATTGTAGCTAAACGATGAGATTTTTACAAATTGTTTGTTTGTCGAACCCAAAAAGTTTTGGGTTCGATGAAGGACTATTAGAGGTACAATTTAAAAATAATTTTACAAGATACAGAGTGTCCCAAATAAGTAAAAAATATCAAAGTTGTATTTTTTTAAATGGAACACCCTGTATATTATTACATTTTTAGTTTCTACGATTAAAATAAAGGTAAATTTGATTAAGATTTATTATACTTAAACCTTACCGTTTTTGAAATATTTTCAATTTTGTGAAATTGCAGTAAAAATTTTAAGGCTTCATTCCTCCAAGGGTATCAAAGTTTTTAATACTAAATATTTACTGAAGTTTATTTACTGATCAGTTATTGTGTTGCAATAATAAAAATAATACTACCTTATACAGAGTGTCTAAAAATTTATTTTAAATAATTATTAGCTTCAAACGGCAATAACATCTGATAACAAATCAGATGCACAATTTAATTGTCTATCAAATTATATTATACCATTTTTTACCTATCTCTTTAAGTTTCCGTAGAAAATGCATTTTCTTGTAATTTAGAACTTATTTATCAATATACCCATGGACTATTGACATTTTAGATTATTTTTAAAGATGTACCAAATTTTTAAAGAGTACAGATATTGTCGATATAATTCGTTTATTTCATTAAAAAATAAAAAAAAACTGTTTAAATATTTGTTAAAGAGGACCAATTAATATGATTCCAGTATTCAAACTACATTAACTGACTGTTTGCGTTGATTAATAATAATCGCTCCAAATACTAAAAAACTGAATTTTGTATGGGCATTAGACAGTGTGATAAAAAGTAACACCTTAAAAATGATATTTCATTTTTTAATAAATGCTTATTTATAACAACAGAGACTTTAATTTGATAACTTATTATTATATTGATTTCTGACTCAAATCCACATTTATTTATAATAATTTAATAACGAACACAATTAAGTATGTAATTAATTAGTATATGGGCGGAAATAATGGTGTTATATTTAATTAATGGTATACTTTTTTATCAAGATTTAAATGGTTTTCTTTTGCATACAAATGGGCTAGTAATATTATCGTTTTGCTAAAAACGATAATATTACTAGTCTGTACATTTTGTACATTTGTTGCTTTAAAAACAATCTAAAATGTCAATATTCCATGGATATATTGATAAATGAGGTCTAAATTATAAGAAAATGCATTTTCTACGAAAACTTGAAGGGATAGATAAAAAATGGTATAATACAATTTAATAGACAATTTAATTGTGCATCTGATTCTCCTAAAATATACAGGGCATTCTATTTAAATTAAAGAAGTTATTGCCGTTTGAAGCTAATAATTATTTAAAATAAATTTTTAGACACTCTGTATAAGGTAGTATTATTTTTATTATTGCAACATAATAACTGATCAATAAATAAACATTAAATATTTAGTATTAAATATTAGTATTAAATATTAGTATTATATATATTAAATATTTCAGTATTAAAAACATTGATACCCTTGGAGAAATGAAGCTTTAAAATTTTTACTGCAATTTCACAAAATTGAAAATATTTCAAAAACGGTAAGGTTTAAGTATAATAAACCTTAATCAAATTTACCTTTATTTTAATCGTAGAAACTAAAAATGTAATAATATACAGAGTGTTCCATTTAAAAAATACAACTTTGATATTTTTTATTTATTTGGGACACTCTGTATCTTGTAAAAATATTTTTAAATTGTAGCTCTAATAGTCCTTCAACGAACCCCAAACTTACACTTTGTAAAAATCTCATCGTTTAGCTACAATACTCCGTGTCGTATGTGGTGAACAACCCTGTATAAAATCCTTAAGTGACTGACATACTGATTAATCACGATCCTGCTCAAACCATTCAACGTAAGAAGCTCAATTTTGGCAAACAGGTTGATTCTAGAGTGTAGAGGTTCGATAAGAAGGGATTTTTCGAAATTCCAGTTCCAAGAGGGTGAAACCACCCCTCAAATATTACAATATTTTTTATTTAAAAAACGGTCAAGTTTCCGAAAAAACGCTTAGACACGTATATTTTATTTTGTCTTTTTACATATTTTAAGATTTTTTAAAAATGTATACAGGGTGTTTCGAAAAATCTGGCCATTGATTAATCACGATCCTGCTTAAAGCGCTTGACGTAAAAAGCTGATTTTTAGAAAACAGATTGACTTTAGGGTGTAGAGGCTCGATAAGAAGGGATTTTTCGAAATTCGAATTCTAAGGGGGTGAAACTATCCCTCAAATATTAAAATATTTTTTTATTTAAAAACAGGTGAGTTTTTCGGAAAAATTCTTAAACACGTATATTTTATTTTGTTGTTTTACATATTTTAAGATTTTTTATAAATTTATACAGGGTGTTTCATAAAATATGACCAATGAGTAATCACGATTCTGCTTAAACTGCTTGACGTTTAAAGCTGATTTTTGGCAAACGGATTGACTGTGGGGTGTAGAGGTTCGATAAGAAGGGGTTTCTCGAATCTCAAATTCCAAGAGGGTGAAAACGCCCCTCAAATATTACAATATTTGTTATTTAAAAAACGGTTAGTCTCTCGGGAAAACGCTTGGGCAAGCATAGTTTATTTGTTTTTTTTATATATTTTGATATTTTTTAAAAAATCATACAAGGTGTTCCAAAAAGTTGGGTAATTTCTTAACCACGATTCTGCTTAATTTGCTTGACGTAAAAAAGCTTATTTTTGGCAAACGGATTTTTCGAAAGTCAAATTCCAACGAGATGAAACTACCCCTCAAATATTACCAAGTTATTCGCCATATTGTTTTTTCTCATGCTGACATAAATGTGAGAAAATTTTATCCAGTTTGTATGTTAATGGAAATTCTTGCTTTGCTTTATCAACACCATTACAAATGATTAATTCGACGCGAACGAAGTCGCTGGTACACGCTAGTATTATTATATATGTTTAGATAGTTTCAAAGATATTAATAAATAAATAAAACAAAATATATTTTTCAGACTTTTAAAAAAAATATTAAAAATACTAGAAATGTCCTGAAATCAAAACTATAATAGGTATGTACTGTAGTGGGTCTGTGCTTACTTTGATACAAATATCGTAATATTAAACCATACAGGGTGTTTAAAATTCTATGGCAAACTTTTTAAAATATAAAATAGTTTTTCTTCGTTTTTTTTTTAAATGAAGCACCATGTATATTATGTCTTTGTTAGATGGATAATTAAAAAATAAACATTTTTTGCATTTAAAGTATTTCAAAGTATCTATTCTACAACCGTCAAAACATTAAAAACTATATTTAGGATTATGTAAAGTGATCAAAAAAGAAGCCAAAAATGCAATAATTATACAGGGTGTTCCAAGAAAAAATCATCCCAATCCACAACACTTTTTTGAGCCACCCTGTAGAAGTTAAAATATTTTCCTGAAATACATTCTAATACATACTTTAGGTTTGCACTTAAAAAAAATTCCTAACTGTTTTATTATAGGAGTTATAGATGCACGACGCACTATTGCCGTACCCTGTATAAGAATGAAAAAAGAAGTATTAGCTAGCCAGGTTTTTAGTCACATTTATACTAACAGAAGAAAAAATACTTCTATACAGACAACTTAACAAAGTACGTAAGAGCTATATCAAATTAGAAGTTGAATATTTGGAATTCAAAGAAAAATATTAGTTTAACCTTAAGTAATATTTTGACTATGGAACAACAGAACATAATCAGGCGCTAACAATAGCGATTTTATGTTAGTTAAGTTTTAAGATGCAGCCATGGTTTTCTATTAAAATAATTTTGGATTACTTTTTGTCGGCTACTGGCAGAGATGTACCGGGTGTCCCACTAAGAATAGCTCTCGGCTGTATCTCGGAAAGTATTAGCCATAGGGCTTACGGAAAATAATATGTATAACTAAAGAGGCTATGAGAAATTGCTGCAAATTATTTTCAAGTTTGTAAAACGGCCGCTCGGTGGCGCAACTGCTATGGAAAATAAGAAAATAGATTTTTTACAGAATTTTGCCTAGATAATGGGTACTATAAATAATAGCTTCATAATCTTCAGTAAATTTTGGATTTTTTTTTTGTTAGAACCATTTCCCTTTATCTGCTAAAATAAAGTGGTGGGGGAAGGTTAGATCTATCTTTATTTAAATGTTAATAACTCCGGACTGGATGATCAGAATCCAACAAATGAGGGCTCGTTTAAAAGAGCGTTTCTTACTCTATATTATACCATAAAAATAATAATAATAAGGTTTTGAACGTAGACGCTAGGGGGCGCTTTCTTACAATTTAACAAACATAGCGCGTTTTTTCAAAAAAGTTAAATACGATAGTATGTGTTATTTTAGCTGATAGTAAAGAGTAGTAAAATCTTAAAAAGACAGCGAAAACCGCATCTTGATATCTTCTTTCAAACCGAAGATATTAGCAAAATTATAATAAATACCAAAAAATAAGCCCTTAATTACCTTATTTTTACAATACAGTATCAGTTGCCCTCTTGATTAGGCCCATTCTAACAAAAAAAAATAAGATAGAAACAGTTAGTTTATTTTAAAATCGAGGAAATACCAGATGTCTAATAATTAAGATATTAATAATAATGAACAAGAAACGATGATTCAGTGAAGTCATGGTAGGCTTTGGAAAACAGTTGCTTTTCGCGTAATAGTATAAACGTCAAATTGTTATTAGATCAACATTTTGATAGTCTTAGCAGCGTTTTTTATCTTTTAAATGCTTTTTCAAAATGCCTTTATTATTTGAAGTAGTTGAAGTTGTTGGCATTTTGAAAAAGCAATCAAAAGATAAAAAACGCTGCTACGACTATCAAAATGTTGATCTAATAACAATTTGACGTTTATACTATTACGTCAAAAGCAACTTTTTTCCAAAGCCTACCATGACTTCACTGAATCATCGTTTCTTGTTCACCATTATTAATATCTTAATTATTAGATATTAATACATCTGATATTATGATATTCGGGTATATCGTCGATTTTAAAATAAACTAACTGTTTCTATCTTATTTTTAGCTTAGAATGGGCATAATCAAGAGGGCTACTGATACCGTGTTGTAAAAATAAGGTAATTACGGGCTTATATCTTGGTATTTATTATAATTTTGCTAATATCTTCTGTTTGAAAGAAGATATCAAAATGCGGTTTTCGCTGACTTTTTAAGCTTTTACTACTCTTTACTATCAGCTAAAATTACATATACTATTGCATTTAATTTTTTTGAAAAAACGCGCAATGTTTGTTAAATTGTAAGACAACGCCCCCTAGCGTCTACGTTCAAAAGCTTATTATTATTGTTTATACGGTACAATATAGAGTAAGAAACGTTCTTTTAAACGAGCCCTCGCTTGTTGGATTCCGATCATGCGGTCCAGAGTTATTAATATTCAAATAAAAACAGATCTAACCTTCCCCCAGCACTTTATTTTGGTAGATAGGGGAAAATGGCTCTAATAAAAAATATTCAAAATTTACTGAAGATTATGAAACTGTTACTTATAGTACATCTTATCTAGGCAAAATTGTGTAAAACCTCCATTTTCTTATTTTTGGTTGCAGTAGCGCCCCCTAGCGGTCGTTCTACAAACTTGAAAATAATTTCCAGCAATTTCCCATAGCCTCTTTAGTTATAAATATTTTTTTCCGCAGCCGCTACGGCTAATACTTTCCGAGATACAGCCGAGAACTATTCTTAGTGGGACACCCTGTACAATATACCTCATAACAAGTATCTGAAATACAAGTTACAAGATGCTTCTAAGCAAAGTATTTGAGATATCAGTTACAAAATACTTTTGAAAAAGATATTAGAAATACTAGATATAAAATATGAATTGTCTAAATACTTTTATTAAAATAAAATACTTGTTGAAAGAAGACTTTTTTATTTTTAAAGTTATTTAGCTTATTACATTAATAACTACGAACAAGAATCGTGTAATCTGGGAATGTGTTTATTATTTAAATATTGCAATGTTTCTAAACAGGCACCGACCCCATGTTGTCGCTACTTGCAACAAAGGAATCAGAGTCCTCTAAAAACATGTAATAAAATTGGTCTTTTGTCTTTTTTTGTGTATTCACCATTATTGATTCAAATGTCCAATTTTTCAGTCCATGTCAAAGACAAGATCTTTGACATGTTTTTTAAATGACATTGGACATTTCATTCTTTAAAATGAAATGGCCACAAAGGCCAATGGGTGCTTTTCTTTAATCCATTCTATAATACTAGATAGATACAAAAGAATAAAAATGTTGTAATTTTTAGTATGATTATTTTGTTCTATTTCAGGTTTAATGTTAATAAAAATTGTTAAATAATAAATACGATTTTTTTTATTCATCTACGGATATTTCATCATACCTAATACGGCTATTAGGTATGATGAAATAGGGAAGTTATTAGATCCATATTATGAATGAATGTCGTAAAGTAAAGATAATGCATAGTTAATAATTAGTAAAAGTATTTTAGCAAACTAAGTATTTATAAAATACTAAGATACTAAAAAAATGTATCTAAATACAAGATACAAGAAGAAATTAAAAAAAGTATTTCAAATACATATAAGATGAAAATACGTATTTTGTATCTTATATCTGTATTCCAAATACTTGTATCTGAAATAAGTCACATCTCTGGCTATTGGGTAGAGTTGGGAAACGGATTTTACCTGTATAGAGAAATGTTACGCATAACAGAAGCATATTTTTCGTCATGGATAATCGCACTGCGCCTTTTAATGCTTCAATCGGACCGGATGGCTCCTTAACCTCTTCAGCAGGGTTATTGTCAGAGGCGTCCTTTTCGGGCGGTTTGGGGAAGAATATTATAACTGCAAGCCCGCCCAGGGCAATGGCAGCTAACGTCCACACTACAATTTGACGTGTGCCAGCATCAATTGTGTCTTTATCTCTGAAGGCGAAATACACAAACGTGTTTCCTATAAACATACTAAAAATAAAAAAAAGTCAATATCAAAAATGATAGAGTTTGAGTGTTAATTTCTTGCCACTTCGGTTAAAGATAGGTAGAGCGATGAGCTTATTAAATAAATAAATAAATAAATAAATAAATGCCTTTATTGTCAAAAAATTTTTCAATTTGTGGACAAAGGTAAACTAACAAACAAAGTAAAAAAAAACAAGGTACACAAACAAACAAACAAAAGATAATACAAAACATTATACAAATAATATTGTCAGTCTTATTGTTAAAATAAACATATATAAATGTTTACAATGTTTACAAGAACAAAAAAAATTAAAATAATATTCAAAAATATTTAGCCAGTTTATAGCAAAATATCAATGACCTCTAAATAAATTAATTTCGATGTCATTAGTAAATATAGCAATAGCAAACATTAGACCAGTGTTTTCAAGATCAAATTCGATTTTCAATTCAAATATAATTCATTACGGCGTAGAAAGCCTTGTCTAGTAAATAAGAGTTCAATGCTTTGCGAAATGAAAAAAATGATGTTATGGATTTGATTTCAAATGGCAGGTGATTGTGCATTTTTTTCGAGTTGTATAATATTGAACTTTTAACTAACTCTGAGCGTGGGGTAGGTAGATAAAGATCTTGCTCCGCGTTCCTGAGTGGATAAGTGTGAGATGGCCTTTCTTGAGAAGCTGATACATGTTTACGTATTAGGCAAACGGATTCAAATATAAATAAGGAAGGAAGAGTCAATATTTTTAATTCTCTAAAAAAGCCCCGGCAATGAGTTCTGCTGTTTAGTCCCAGTGAATATCGAACAGCTCTCTTCTGGAGCTTGAAAATGCGGTCAAATTGAGCCGCACAACACGTACCCCAGAATGGAAGGGCATACCTGAGGTGCGACTCAAAAAGTGCATAATAAACAGTTCTAGCCACTGACAAGTTAAGCTCCTTAGAAACAGACCTTAATGCAAAACAGGCAGAGCTCAATTTTTTCGACAAAGCTTCGATATGTATGTCCCATTTCAGAGAATTGTCCACAACAAGCCCTAAGAATTTTACGGATTTTACGACGTCAATGGTGGTGTTGTCAAGTACAAAAGGCTGCAACGAGTTTTTATACGACAAAGCCTTAGTTTTAGAAATGTTGAGACTCAGGAGGTTCGAATCGCACCAAGATTTAATGGTGATTAAGTCATTTGATATAATCCTATGAAGTGCCGCGATGTCCTTGTTGCTCCAAGTGAAGCTAGTGTCGTCCGCAAAAAGACATATTTTGCCACTGATGTTTATGTTAGCAATGTCGTTAATAAAAAGAAGAAACAAAATAGGGCCTAGTACTGAGCCTTGTGGTACTCCACATTCTATTGGCTTGCTATAAGACAACGTGGTATCCACCTTCACAAGTTGACTTCTGTTGCTCAGATACGACTTAAACCATTCGAGAGATGATCCCCTGAACCCATAGTGCTGCAGTTTATTAATTAGGATCTTATGATTTACACAATCGAACGCCTTAGAAAAATCACAGAAAATTGTTGCTGTAGAATGATGGTTGTTTAGGCAGGAGTAAACTTTATTAAGGAGGGAAAACATAGTGTCATTTGTGGACTTGTTGCTTAGAAATCCAAATTGATATTCAGTAAGTATTTTGTACTTAAACAGAAAAGATACCAGCCTGCTTTTAACCAACCTTTCTATGATCTTAGATAGCGTTGGAAGGAGTGCAATTGGGCGAAGAAAGAATTATTTATTATCTACTCTACAATTGGTTTTGTATAGAGATACTAAATTTAGATGAATACTGTGTCAGAACTTAAATTAACAGTGACATTGCAAATTCCAGAAAAATATTGTAAAATAGTTATGTTTGCAATGTGCGGTAGATTTCGGTCAAAAATTGAGATAAATAAGGGAATACTTTTAACTACCTATACAATACACGTTATGTATCTCAAGTGTAGCAATTATGATATTCACTTAGAATTAACTAATTATACGATCATTTTTACAAGAGAAAAAGCTTTTTTATTAATAACTTTTTGACGTTTTAAATAAAATTAGAACGGCACTCACGAACCGCAGTTTAAGTCAGACTCTCAGCCGTAAGTTCTGAAATCGAAAGATGACAGTGACAGCTGTTATCATTTTAATTCAATAATAAATTGTTTTATTTGTAATTTTTTTGGATGTCGTCGGTTGAAATAATATAATCTCTCGCTAAACAAACTATAGTTCAATTTGTATAGAAGGTGTTTCAAAAAGCATGTGCATCTCTCGTGGGGAGATTCCTCACGTAAAAATAAGATTTATTTTTCATATCAACATAGGTCCGATTCTGCTTTGTTTCGTAGCTACAGGGTGTTAAAGTCTTAATCATTTTTCGATTTATTATAATTTTCTTTCAAGTGCTTTTTGTGTGATTTCAAGTGATTCGAATGAAATTTTGAGGGTAAAAGTTACTATAAGTGCTACATATTTTAATGCTAAAAAAGTGTCGATAAATTCATCAAGGACGTGCATATAGGCGAAGAATATTATAGTTAACACAATAGAAAACCCATCCCGTGTAAAATTTTTGGAACCAAAAGGGAGCCCGGCTTTTTGAGCCGGGATCCATCGAAGCGCCGCAACGTTATAAAGCGATTCCTTCCTTGTCTATGTTGCCAAATCGTACGCCAAATGCTACCGGCACACGCGGCGGCCCGACGATCATCAAAGCCTTCCGTATTCCCCCGCACCGCGTTGTGAAGGCTTCGTGGTGTGCTCATTTTTTATATTTTGAATTGTGGATTTTGCTTTATTATTTTGAATTATTATATTTTGATTTAAGTTTTCGTGTTTTAAAAATATGTCGGACAATGTATGTCAATATTACAATAGCAGACTATCAAGGAGGGACAATCCTAATTTAAAAATGTTTAGGTTCCCTTATAAAAATCGAAGTATATGCGAACGTTGGATTATAAATTCGGGTAAGCAGAGGTGTGACTGAATATTATGCTGGATATCTTCTAAGAAAAACGCCAGATAAGTTTAATTGTTTAGAGTGCAGTTCAAAATTTCACAACCAAGACCTTATTGCTCATCAACTTGATCCAAAAAAAAACTTTTTACTGAACAAAAATTATGAGCTGGACAGATTTTTCCTAATTGTGCCATGTACAGAAATTTCGGTCTTAGTCCAAAAGATGTTTATTTTGTCGAAAAAATATTTTAATGAATATAAAGAACAAGAATATTTAGGTCTTAAAATAAAAAGGAAAATTATTGCGAAAAGTGAGATTTCGATTTGGTTAGGTAGTAAGGAAAAAACATGCTACCCATACAAACTTTTTTTAATGAATTATTTAATTATTACTAATATCTTCAAATTTTGCAAATGGGAAGAAGTTAAAAAAAATGACAAACAAAAACTAAAAAGTTTAAAAAATAAGTAGAATTTTAGCATATCTTGCCACCGACCGCTGTCGGGTTTCTCGGAAAGAAACCTACGTCGCCGGGCGACAACTAAAATTCAGTTAATATTTTATTATAATCGATCCTGACGAATAAATGAATTTCATAAATGAATGAATTTTATAAATGAATGGTTTTTGCTGCCGAATTACTAGAATACAATATTTCAAGGCAAATGACGGATCTATTCGATAATTTTTATTCGAATAGTTTTCAACGAATGTTTTCTTACTAACTATCGAATTATTCGAATGAATTGCAACTATCGAATGTTTCGATAGTATTCATTCGATAGTTCCCACTACTAATATCTACCCTACAGAAATAACAATTTTACTAGTTCATTTGAGCCCGTTAATGAGATATTTTAGGGCTTTTTTTGTGATGGTTCTGCTTTAGAATCTAGATCGGGGGATGCGAAACAGTTCATCCCAAAAAAAATGATTTTAGTTACTTATTGCAAAAAATTCCCTTTTTACTATTTACACTGTTACCGCCAAATCTTGTTTATTATGAAAAATTAGATTGTCTTATTTGTGATTTGTTTAGTAAAATAAAATGATTTAATTGGTTAGCATAAATTTTAGAATAATTAGTAGTAGATTTAGTAATTAATAGTAGATTTCGTTTTTAGATACCTAACTTAACTGGTAATTACTTGTTGTCTGATGTAAATAATGTAAAGTATTAGCATTTTATTTTGCCCATTTTTGCCAGGATATAACTTTTCTATTTTTGTATAGAACATTCATTAAAAAAGAAATTTTAGGGTCTTTAGTCAAGTTTTATTTTATATTATAATCAATAATGTCATAAGTTGCCAAATGTCACCGTTATTGGTATGAACTATTTTTTTTCAAAGGGGACACCCAGTATATTTAAAGTGTATTTATACAGGGTGTTTCAAAAAACATAATAAACATAATTATATAATGTGCCATCTCTCGTGGGGAGATAATATATAATCTCACGTAAAAATAAGATTAATTTTTCATATCAACATAGGTCCAATTCCGCTTTGTTTCGTAGCTACAAGTTGAGGTTGAGGTTGTTAAGGTGTTTAATATTTTTTCGATTTATTATAATTTTCTTATATTATTTCTTTCCATGTACTTTTTGGCGTTTTGAATGAAATTTTCAGGGTAAAATTTACTATAAATGCGACATATTTTAAGCCAAAAAAGTGCGGACATATTCACCAGGGACGTGCATATGGGTTCTCACTGGAATATTTTCTTAAAAAATCATGTACGCTACTGACTTTTTTCTCTTGTTAGCGAAATAGTGTAAGTAGTTTAATGCCGATTAAAAGTTGTCTCTTGATATTTTGTCGATTTCGGCCTCCTTGATGAGATAAAGGCAAAACGATATCCTCATCAAAAAATATGAAAAAAAGTTCATATAAACATGGGTATGGAAATGCATAGTTTTAGAGTTACAGGATGTAAAAATTTTTTTAAATTAGGTTTTTTGTTGTTATCTTAATAACCAATATTTTTTTATTTCAAATTGCTGTATGTTAGATTAGTTTGATGTATTATTACTAGTAGAATAATATTACACATACATAGTAATATATATAGTAATAATATTTAATAATAAATTAGGTAAAGATATAATTTATTAATTTTTTATTTTTATTTTAATTTTATTAATTATTGTGATTTTATTAATTATTGTGATTAATAAAATTGCGTTTATCTCATTAAGGAGGCCGAATTGGACAAAATATCAAGAGATGCCTTTTAATTGGCATTAAATGGCCTACACAGTTTTGATATCAAAAAAAAGTCAGAGGCGCACATGTTTCTTTGCACGTCCCTGATGAATTTATTGCCGCTTTTTTAGCATTAAAATATGTAATACTTATAGAAACTTTTACCCCAAAAATTTAATTCAAAGCACTAAAAGTACTTGGAAGAAAATTATAATAAATCGAAAGATTATTAAGACTTTAACACCCAGTAGCTACGAAACAAAACAGAATCGGACCTATGCTGATACGAAAAATAAGTCTTATTTTTATGTGAGGAATCTCCCCACAAGAGATGGCACATGGTTTTTGAAACACCCTGCATAGTACATTTTTATTCTGTTATACAAATTAAATGTATCACACATGTTCTTTGTTTTAACAGTCTTATCGAAATTCGAAAAAATTGTAAACCAATGTTAATATGTAGTTTGTTTCAAGTTCAGAAGTTTTTAAAGGGACACCCTGTATATTTTTTTTATTTTATTTGCCTTGTTATGAGCTTTCTACAAATATAATATACTTATTTTCACAAACAAGGTAAAAACGCATTTTTAATTTTTTAACACGAATAAACTTGTTTAAAAGAGTATTATTATTTTATTTTATTTTATTTAATCAGATAATTATGCTTTCCACGGTGTTATCTTAATAAACTGCACTGAAAATGAACTTGTGTAATTTTTACATAACACGACGGCTGTCAATCAGAGTTACAGAAATTGTTGATGCACTTGTGCAATAATTTTACACACAGAAGCGTGGAATTACCAACATCTAAAATTTGAAGTCGAATAAATTATTCGATTGTGTTGATTACGCAATTCAAACAAGCCGCGTATGTGAAAAAGTTAAATATAATGCATTTTTTACCTTATTTATAAAAATAAATATAGATTACCTAAATTATATTTTTAGAAATCCCATAGGAAGGCAAATTAAACGAAAAAGTAATAAAATACTAAATAGTGAAAACCTCACCTTTGTACCTCTACTCATAAATGAGGAAACCCTGTAAAACACACGAAAATGGGACACTCTGTATATACTAAAAATATCAAAATGAAAAATACATAATTTTTTTTCTCCTCTATAAGTCAATATATTTAAAACTTCTTTTCATTTAACTAATTTTTAGATTTGACTCGACAATGTAGCTTTTTGTAAAAATGAGTGTTATCTATTAAAATATGTTTAGTTTTAGTTTTTTTTTATTTCAAGTTAACTTATATCAAATTTCCAAAAAAATTCTAAAGATAAATGCTAAATTCAATATAATTTTCTAACTAAATAGATGTCTTCTAAAATACAGTTATTGGCAACGCCGCGTCTCGTTCACGAAGGTTTCCGCACGAAATATTAAAGTTTACGTGTGCATTGATGTCTTTTGGCCGGTTCCAGCCGTCCCATTTGCGTGGGTTATCAATTCGTAGTAGAATTATCTTTGATATAGGTTATCACTGGAATATTTTTTAAAAATAAAACATGTGCGCCATTGACTTTTCTTCTTTTCATACCAAAATTGTGTAGGCCGTTTAATGCCAAATAAAAGTTATCTCTTGATATTTTGTCGAATTCGGCCTCCTTGATGAGACAAATGCAATTTTATTAATAACAATTAATAAAATTAAAATAAAAATAAAATTAATAAATTATATATTTTAACTAATTTGATATTAAATATTATTACTATTAGTTATTATTACAATTAGCTCAACCTACAGCAATTTCAAATAGAAAAATAATGGCATTTAAGATAATTACAAAAACCCTTATTTAAAAAATTTTAACATTCTGTAACTCTAAAACTATGCATTTCCAATCCCATGTTCATCGAACTTTTTTTTTATATTTTTTGATGAGAAATCAATTATTAGTACTTATTTAAAACTTTTGCAAGTTAATGATATTAAAATTTTTTAAAGGTTGCTATTAAACTTGGATCAAGGCAAATTAATAAAATTGCATTTATCTCATCAAGGGGGCCGAAATCGATAAAATATCAAGAGACAACTTTTAATCGGCATTAAACTGCTGACACTATTTCGCTAACAAGAGAAAAAAAGTCATGTTTGTGTGTGGCGTACATGTTTTTCTTTAGAAAAATATTCCAGTGATAACCCATATGCACGTCCATGGTGAATATGTCGACACTTTTTTAGCTTTAAAATATGTCGCATTTATAGTAACTTCTACCCTCAAAATATCATTCGAAACGCTGAAAGTACCTACTTGAAAGAAAATTAAAATAAATCGAAAAAATATTAAGATTTTAACACCCTGTAGCTGCGAACCAAAGCAGAATCGGACCTATATTGACATGAAAAATAAATCCTATTTTTACCTGAGGAATCTTCTCACGAGAGAAGGCACATGTTTTTTGAAACACCCTGTATAAATATTTTAAAATATTCTTTATAAACATTGTGTATACCTTAGCTGCAGCAGTGCCCAAAATATTCCAGAATTTTTTGATATTGTCGCTGGTCTGGAATTTAGAGCAAGATAATTTCCTTGGCCCGTCCAGATTAATGCTGCACCAATTCCAATAATGCAACTTACCAGATACAGTAGCCACGTTCGTGGTATAGAAAATGATGCAATAAATAGCCTGTAACAAAGTTACTTAATTAATTATATTCAACAAAAAATTCCACTTAATTCAAGTGGTCTGATGAGTGTGACAGTAATGTATGTACAACCAATAATACACTGATCCTAACAGAAAACTGCACCAATTTGTGCAGGTCTTTAATAGAATGGGAGCAGAGTTCCTCCCAAATAGAAAGTGTCGTTTGTGATCCAGAGCCTCGCAAGCCTCGGAGACATATTATAGTGTGAGCAACGGATCTGAAGCTACGGGGTATCGGCAGGGGAACGCAGTTGTAAACAAAACACGCCCAATTTCATTCATAAAATAGGCATGGGCGTACGGTGTTTTATGAAAATAATGTGTATCATAAATATAATATTCAGATTAATAATTTTTTTCAAAAAACTTTATGCTGTTTGAATCGTTACTGTTGAGTTAGCAGATAAACACACACAAAAAGCTTTTATTAAAGCTCCCTTAAATATTTTGAATCATTTTATTATTATGTGTTGTTAATAGATTTAATAGAAGAAATAATTTCAGCTGGGGGTTGGAACCTTTGGTCTTACACAGCACAATACACCAAAACACTTTTGCACACTGGACGCACGTTTCGCTAACCATGTTAGCATGATCAGCAGATAATCAAGACTTAGTCTTGAGGTATATTTATTTATATATCTGTACTAACTATATTTTTTTCTATAATACATATACATAATTTTAGATATAACTATTTCCAGCAAAAAAACAATCTTGAAAATAGTTAATTTCGGAAGCGCAAACAAAAAAAAAATTTACTCACCAGTAAATCCAATATTGCCTATTACACCAGATATGGTATCGCTCCGCCAGCACTTTTTAAAGGTTAGGTCATTGTATACCCATATGTTTCATCCAAATAGATAATACTTGGCTATATTTTCGAATTTCGCGTATATATTTATATCCCTCTCTGTAATATAATGGGCCGCTCCATTAATATTTATCTGTTATTTTGACATTTACGCCAAAAAAAATCATTTGATTTTAATAACTCCCTAAGCGTTTCCCTGCAAAAGGAAAATTCGATTCTTCCTGCAATTTTTGCAAAAGCTTTCTAATTGTGAGGACGAGTTTGAATTCGAGATAAAATCTATTTATCAAATTCCTGACCACTTCGAAAAAGTCGTCGAGCTTTTCGACAGCAGTCTCACGTGGTCGTTTCTTTCCAGAGCTGGATATCATTTTATCGGGGTTAGTTTTAAGCCTTTTTTTAACTTCTGTGTTTTTAACAAGTTTACGTTTAAGCAGCAACTTAAGCGAACTCTCTGTAGCTTCTTCATCGCAAACCCTATTATGAACACAAGGAAATAAACCAAATGATATTTCTTCCACGTTATTATTAACTTACTTATATAAATTAGCTATTATTTCTCTTGTCTGACTATGTAGTGTCTTACCCTTAACAAATTTATTCATTTTAAAACACAAATATACGATCAAACTTGATATTAATAATTAAAAACTACGAACGAAAAACATTATAACAAGATAACAAAACAATAAAACACAACTGAACTATCAAATATACAAAAAATATAGGAATAAAGTTTAGGATAACCGGTATAAAATAATGAAATAAAGTAATAATGATCAAAAAAATGACACCGCCACTGGATATTTCAATAGTATTCAATATTCCTACTCTTTTCAGAAGAGATCGTGAAGTTGGGCATAAAGCAAGCGAATAGGAAAGGCGTAAAAGACATGGCAACCGCGTGGTAACAAATCCTGTGACGTACTCTCGCCAATCATGTTCGATGAATAGGCGACCATGCGCGGCGATGCCGGTTTGCCAATGATATCGTTGAAAAATCTTCAACTTTCATAATAAGCAGATTATACAGAATGAAAGAAATAAGTTATTAAATAAAACATATCGAACAATATGAACTACGTTAAAATTCCTTAGTAATATACGTCAGAACATATGCTAAACACATTATATATAATAAAAATATATTAAATTTATAGTTCATGTCTGGCAATTTTGCAATTTTATAGATAACGTGGCAATATCGATATTTTTCTCGCATTCCTTCCGTAGCTTCAGATCCGCTGGTCAAACAGTATGAGCATGAGCTCCGCTGTTCCAGTCTTGATCACCAGAGTCTGCAGCAAAGACTTGCTTATTTACAGATTGAGCTTGTTCCAGGTGGCTCTTGACAGTTATATGTCTTTTAAGAGACCTGTTAAATCCGCCCTTTGTTCCTGCTAAGCATTAGCAGTTCGCTGTAATTTAGAATTAGGTCCTTGGATAAAGGCCTTACATGAATGTCCCTGTCTGTTTCTCCAGTGGATATTCTGCTTTTCGCTGATCCAGAGATTAACTACTGGTTATACATTTGGGCATTCCTGTACTGGCTCTGGACTAAGGTAGAATTCAGGCTGATCCTTGGCTTTTTCGTGGCTTTGGATGCACTGTGGCCAACAGAAAGAATAATTTAATTCTGTGCCTTTCATCCATGAGGTATTTCAGACGAGTATCGACGTACGATAAAGTAAGATTTGTTGTTTTCTCGCGCATTGTAGAGACGGCATATTTCTGCTTGTAATACGTTTGAGTATTTACCCAAGAAAACAGATAAACATTCTGTCTTTCTCCAAATACTCTTGTTCCATCAGCGGTCTTTGACCCCTCATAGGTCAGTCGTCCCTGAAACCATGTTGTATCAGTCCAAAATCAACTACCAGCTTCTAAATTTATTATTGAAGTGAAACTTCTTTACGCGCGATGGGAGTAAAATTGAAGGCCGTGACATGGCTGGGACGCGAGAGGAAAATTGGTAACGCTGACTTTTCTTGGAGCGTCGCGTCTGCTTTAGGCCCGCCCTATGTGAGCTAGAAATTTGAAACTCGGAATGTAGACTCTTCGAGCACCATCTTTTCATATTTTTATTTCGTTTTTTACGTTTCATGCACTACGAAACTCCATCAATGAACCAAATAAAATCATCCGTTTGAAATGTAATTTGGTATGTCCATGGCTGAAACTTAAATGGAAATGACGGTTCATTAAAAATAGTTTTTTCCTCCAAGATGCAGAGGCGCAAAATAAAACTATCAATATTAACAATGCCAAATATCAATATCTGACAATAATAAAATTTGATTTTTAACTGTCACGAGACATCAGAGACGCTTTTGTTGTGATTTTACGGTTTGATTTCGTTTTGATTTGTCGAATTATTGTAAAATTAAATTCCTTCAGATTTTTTGCCAGTATTCTGTTTTAGACAATTTGTTTTTTAAAAATGGAGGGACAATTTGTGTTTTGTATAGACTCTTAATTATTTTTTATCATGGAGTTTAATTGTTGTACACCTGGTTTCCGAAGGATACAATGGTAAGTAAATTAAACATATCTATTTACAGTAATAGATTTTTTAAATTAGTACTGCGAATAAATGCTACTTGCTGAGCAGTTATTTAATTTTTTTACGGTGCATGTAAGGAATTAAGGACGCGCGTTGCGTTATATTAGCATGATCAACAGATGACTACATCTAATTTAATTTGTTTTTATTATTTCAGGTCTCAAACGGAAACAAACTGGGAATCTCGCCTATACCAAAATTATATAGCTCTTTCTAATTCACTTCAAAGGGAGGAAAATTATGTAAAACTGCCTGCTATTTGCTGAAAATTGCCAAAGATTAAATTATAACTGTAACAACTTAATATATACTATTTTTAGTCTTTTTAATATTTTTTTTTTAATTAATATCCGACATATAAGAACACTTTGTATGCTTTTAATTAAGTTGATTTATCGTTTATAATATGTTTATCGTTTATAATATGTATGTTATGTATCGACCTAATTAAAAGCACACAAAGTGTTCTTACATGTATTTCTAAATTTATTTTAAATTAACTAAAACAACCCCCTTCCCCGCACCCCTCTCCTCCATTAGTATTTCTTCCTCCGACTACCAGAGGCGCCCTTGTATAATAAAATTGAAATGTATTAAAGTTATCTATTTAATAGTATAGTCTTTTATCTATGGGTATGTCGATAGACTGGACCAAGGCAACTTTACCGTGTACGACACGTCACTGTGACAGTTAGTTTTGACATTCTTCTTACAGTGCCGCTTTATATAGGCGTCGGCTGCACTCTCGCATATACTTGTGATATGTCGCAGTGTTTCCTGATACACGGGACCTGAGAGCTGTACAGGGTGTCCCATTTTGGTTGAAATCATAGGGTATCTTCGTTATTAGTGAAGATAGAATGGTGCGGTTTGCACAAACCAGTGCCACTTTTTTGTCAAACTGAAGATGCCGTAAACAAAATTTTCATAGCCCTCTTCGTTTTTAAGCTACAGGGTCTTTTTGAAAATGTTGCAATTTTGACACCCCCTGTATCTCTGTTATTGTTAAAGGTATTGAGACGGTAAAAACTGTTTATTGTAGAACTTTTTACGTAGAATACAGTGGCGTAGTTTGTTATTCTACGAAAATAATATTTTTAAAGATATGAACTAAAGTTATGTTTTCTTAAATGGAACAACCTGTATATTTATAAATTATATGATCTGGCTTGCCATAAGCTTCTCAAAAATATATAACACTCTATATTTATTTTCATTATTTAATGCAATATTTAAAAAAATATATTAAAAGATCATATTTGTTAGTAGGCCATGATTGATAATAAAAGAAACTAAAGAATTCTTAAATGTAATACTGCTATCTGTCTCTTGTTTTATTTTGAGAGCCACTAATTAATTCTTTGTATATTAGGGAACCTTAAATCTCTACCGCTATTTGTAAATCTTGGAAGCTATCGTATCGGAACTTTAAAATATTTCTTTAGCTAATTTACGTGAAATATACTTTCAGCAGGATGGGGCTCCCCCTCACAACTTAACTTACAACTAAAATATTTGAATTTTGTTAAATTATTTTTTCTCAAATCAATGAATTGGAACCAAGGTACTCATATGATGGCCTCCCTGATTCCCGGATTTGTCCATTCTCGATTTCTGATTTTGGGGATTTTTGAAATATGAAATATATCGTGGCAACTAAGACAATGTCGAACATCTGGAAAATGCGTTAATAATGCAAGCTTTTAGATATTTGCAAACCCTTCTCATTATAATAAATTCCGTTATAAAAAAAAGAAAAATATATTCAGAGATTCAGTGGTAACAGTTCAAAAGTAAAATATATCAATTCCAAATAAAATTTTAATATGTGTATGTCTATTTTAGTAAATACCATTTTGATTTTGTTATTTATCACGGCCTACTAATAAGAAAATGATATATTTTAAAAAATGCGTAAATAGTGAAAATAAACATAGATATATATATATATATATATATATATATATATATATATATATATATATATATATATATATATATATATATATATACTATTCTTTCTATATATATATATATATATATATATATATATATATATATATATATATATATATTTGAAGATCATATCAAGGCAGATCATATGATTTATAAAAATACAGGGTGTTCCATTTGAAAAAACATAACTTTAGTTCATATTTTCAAAACAATTTTTTTCGAAGAAAAACGGAGCTACGCCACTGTATTCTACATAAAAATTCTATAAATCGGTTTTCACCTTCTCGATGTCATCCATAATAACGGAGATACGGGGGCTGTCCCAAATTGCAGAATTTCGAAAAGACCTGTAGCTCAGAAACAGGGGGATGAAAATTTTGTTTGACAGCATCTTCCGTTTGACAAAGTGGCACAGAAGTGTGCAAACCGCACCCTTCTATCTTCACGAATAACGGAGATACCATGATTTGCTTAAAATAGGATACCAACACAAGGCAAATATACTCAAGGGTGGTTTGCCATAGCCAAACATTGATCGTTTGCTGACACTCCATCAGATACATCCTTCCCATTAATTAAAATTATGACCTGAACCTATATTACCTTAATATTTTTTCTTGTAATTCTATTCTTTTAATAAATAAAGTGATATAAAATGTACCATTTTTCGTTTTTATTTTACATATCGGAATATAGGGACAGAACTCAGAAATGACACAATTTTTATTTTTTGGCGACTTTAAGAATGTGGTAGAAATGTAGCAGCAGGGGGTCCACCGAAACCAGTAAAATTTTGAAAGTGGTCCACGAGAAAAATAAGTTTGGGAACTACTGCGTTAGAGAAAACATTAGGATTTAGTGTAAAATTAGTTGCATATACCTTGTGACGTCATCACTAATCGGCCCAATTAGAACACAAATTACGCACTTACAAATATGTAATTCCACCAATAAGCATCGCAAATTTTGGTCCAATTAAACTGATAACTGATGGTGCTGTCCAATTGAATAAAGCGAAGAAAACGTAGACTATGGCCAAACTGATGTACGCATTTCCATTAAAGTTTGGGTCGTCGCTTTTGATACTGTCAATCATCGCTTTCTGTAAACAAAATTGATATTATGTAGTTTTGTTTTTTAAAATTATTACTGGATATTTAGATTTATACAGGGTGATGCACGGCCATGGCATGTTAAACGTTCATAGGATCAAAACCGGTCATAGGATTTTTTTGAAAAAATGGATTTTTGCATTAAGGCACCTTCTACATCAGTCTAAATTATTTTCACCACTACAGTGTTGCCGCTTCATACTAAAAGTGGTAGCATCTTTGTTATTTTAAATGGAACACCCGGTATATTATTATATTTTTCAAAACTACTTCCATATCTCAAAATTTTTCTATTATACCAACTAACCTAATCATAAATTCGACATATTGAAAACTAAAATTTGGTTTATAGATTAAGGAAAGTCGACATATTCGATCTGTCTAAATCCACTGATCGGATATCAAACAGGGAGGTCATAAGAAATAAATATTTCCGTTTGTTATAGGTAAAATGGTTCAAATTATTGTTATTTTAAATTCAAGCCTAGGTATATTACTTAAAAAATCGAAACCCATATAAAATAATCTACTTAGCAAAAGTATGGAATGTTATGTTAGTAGGTACTACACAAATAGTGTTTAGTCCACGGAATATTAGGACGCCCTGTATATTTTGTAGGTCCACTTTGGAAAAAAATCTCAAAATTGTTTTCCGAAAAAATATGCGACGTGGCGTTTTCTATATAAGAGAGAAAAAATATAGTAAAGGTCAATGACTAAGAAAACAAGAACCAGTAACACTTGAGACTCTTGAGACCTAATTATTACCGTGTCTCCAAACAGTGGCACATATTTTTCTTAACTTAAATTAGATTGTTAACAAAAGGTACAAAACTAGTATTGACGCATAGCACATGTCAAGTGAATGTAATATCAGAAAAATAATTATCAAATTCAATAAGAAAACGCTATAAAGTTGGAATACCTAGACTGTTTGTTTACCTATGAAACGTAACTCCTGACTCTTTCTTATCATTGCGGCTTTTACACTTGAAAGCTGAACAAATCATCATTGTAATAAAGTTTATACAGAGTTCACTATACACAACAAACTATTAAAAATTGGGTTTCACCCTTTCCGTACATTTTCTGTTTTTTTTCTCGAAGTCAAATGTTAAAGACAAAGCGTCTTTGCAAAACATAGGTACCCTAAATCTCATCCAAATCGAGATGTTGATTCCTGAATTATCTTAAAAAATGTCTTTATTTTTTTAAAGTTTGATGCCCTCTAACGGTCAAACGAAGCACTTTTGTATAGAGGTTGCAATTGTGTCCAGTGAACTTATTTTGATTTGAATAATACCGATAATTAATACGTAGTAGTTCTAAGTCCACGGAATATTGGGACACCCTTTCTAAACAAGGGACAACCCTGTATAGACAAATGTTATCGAGTTAAAAATTTTGGTTGTTCTTTTATCTCCAATTTCCATTCAGGTAAGTTTAAATTGACAATTGAAAAATGGATTTTTATGCATGGAACACACTTTATCGGTCGAAAAGAATTCCACGACAATAAAAATGCAGATTAATGAATTTTTGGGTTACATTTAAATGTCAGGCAACCAAAAAGAATTTGTAAAAAGGTGACGCGCTAGACGATTAAAAACACTTTCGCCATACCGGTTGAAAACAAAGATAAAAACGGATTTTATTCAAAATTTATTTTATACTTTTCCAAGGTTTATAAAGATGCATATCCTAAAAATATTTTGTTGTATACAGGGTGTCCCAAAAAAGTAATGATAAATTTGTAAGTTTTTTATATTGCAATTCCTATTTTTCTGTACAGAATTAAATTTAGCATAGAATTAAATTTAATGGTTGTAGAGAAAATATTTTATGTTAAATATAAAAGTTATAGGGAAGGTTAAGATAAATATTTTAAAATTATAGAATATACAGAATGCTTCAAAAAAGTGTGGCGGATAGAATATATGTTTTTTTAAATACAACACCCTTTTTTATTTTATTTTTAGATTCTGCGTAAAATTCCATAATTTTTTTATATATAATGTTATATACCTAAAATTAACAGTTTTTGTAGTATTTAAATTTGTTTAAACAAATGTTAAATTACAGTGTGGTAAAAAATTGTCAGTGATGCCATTGTTTCTGAAGTTGGAGTACCAAAATTTGGTATGAGAGTTATATAGAGATGAAAAACAAGATATATGTAAAGATACTTTAGTTAAATGCTACAGGATTTTCAAAATATATTTATGAATTTCAACTACTTAAAATTAAAAAATCTCAAATTTTTTAAATGGTACACCACTATATATTTTTATTTTTTCTGATAGATTTTATAAAACTTCAATTTTTATTAAGCATGTCAAATACCTATTTTTAATAGTTTTCGATTTATTCCAATTTGTTCTATTTTTGCCCATATTTTTAATAGCTACTAACCAACTAAAACACTAAATCACCACAATACACCAAAACTCGTTTTTTTTGCACTGGACGCGCGTTAACCATGTTGACATCATCAGCAGATGATTAAAACTAACTTTAGTTTTAATCATGTGCAAATCCAATGCAAAAATAAAAGTGTTTTGGTGTATTGTGGCGATTTAGTGTTTTATTTTGCTGCAGTTTTATTAGTATAAGTGACGGAATGACGGACTACGCATGACGGATACATTTAAACCCACGCTAAAATGTTCCATCGGATTTTCCTTGAAAAGTATTTTTATAGCTATTTAGGCAAATTAATATTCGAGATTCGAGAAATAAGAAAGTTATCTTAGTGGTTTCCCAAAAAAATTGTTGTTTTATCACGATCCACTTGTTTTGATAAAAAAATCAGATATTTTGATTTTAAAGCATTTTGTCTTTTGGTTGTTAATACGTTAAGATAGTACTCGTACTTGATAGTATTGTTAAATCTATTGAAATCAAAATTTGATTGATTGGCACACATACCACATTTCCGAATGAATACAGCGAAAGATTTGAAATGGTTATCAATAATAAATTAATAAAAATGAAAATCCGAGAATGATTTGACGAAAGAAAAACACAAAAACAAGATATCGAAATATAGGACAATTGGAAAGATATGGTATTTGGATAACTCAATATTTGATAACGGTTATAGTATTTGATTTACACATAATTCTATCATAAAAATTGCTCAATATATGCCGCTATCCGATTATTTTAAACTCTTTATTGATGCTACAAAAATAATATATTGTATTAACGTATTATAGCGATTAACTTTTTTCATTTTCATATTTAAACCCCAAATAATATAAACAATTATTATAAATATTGTAAATGTGTGCTTAATTTCAAACTTTAATATAAAACCCTGTTGACAGGGTCAAAGTGTACTTGGATCAAGTACACTTAAATGCTGCCATATAAGTATACAGGGTGAGTTTCCTACGATGTTCTCTATGGGTATCTCGGAAACTACTGGAGATACAGAGTCGGTTAAATGGGGAAAAAATTGCAATTTTGAGGGGTCATAAATATGCGCCTTTCAGATTTTTGAAAAAGTTCATATGGCTTACTAGATATTTAAAAAAAAACAAATTAAGGCTATTTTAAAAATTGTCCCTAATTCCATTATAAGCTATTTTAGACAAAAAGTTTTCAGATAAAAGTTGTAGATAATCACATCCTTAATGAGATTGTGTCCTTCGTTTTCCAAACCAAACCAAACCAAACATATGTTTTTATAAATGGAAACCATAGTTGGACAAGACTTCATAAAAAGGGCCATTTTTTAAGCTTTTTAGCGATATAAGCTATAATATGTTTTCTTCGAAAAATTACTGAGTTATAGCCAATTCCTATAATCTTTAAACAATTTCACTTAGTTAGCCATGGAAACAAGTTTAATCGTCTTTGCTCTCAGAAATGTAAAGCTGGCACATCCAAACTTTGTACATTAAAATAAACAAAAATTGTAAATATGAATTTTTCAATTGAAGAAAAGCGTTTTCTGTGAAAAAAGCCCAATTTTCGCAGGAAAAATTTTGGTTTTTATTGAATTTGGGCCTGCGTCTGCAAATACCGGTATGTTTTTTAATATTCTATCTATCTAAATTTTAAATATCATAGTCAGAAATAGTTTTATTATTTATTAACTGTAAAAATGATATACTTATAAGTTTTATCAAATATTGTGATTTACTTTCTACCTTGTAGTCAAAATTTGTATTTAATAAACTGTAAAATATATATATATTCTTCTATTTTATTAAAGTTACTCTGATATACTAATATATCAGTGTAACTTTAAAAATAAATCCTTTGAAATCAAATATAAACAAAAAAAATATTTACAGCAGAAAAGGCGAAGGCGCTGGGTTAAACGTAGTCTCTACTAAGAACACGGAGGGGCGCTTTGACCCAAAATTTTACTATTAAGTTTTATATCTATCTTAATAGTAGATTATTTTCTTTTATCTATGGATTTAGCGCACGACATGTGTCATTTTGCACACGACATGTGACAATTTTAACATTTTTAACCTCCAATGTTTAGCTGAAACGCCAAACTCAACGCAGCCGTCAGAAAAGCGTCATCATTACATCGCAAATTATTTCACAAAACTGGCAAAAACTGAGTGAGTCTGCTGCTAATTTGTAGTCATAGAAAAAATAGCGTAAAAAACTCGTTCGAAAACTTCTTTGTACACTCGTTCGACTTGTGGCTCTTGCCTGCGGCTCGAGCCAACAAACTGTCGAACTCGTGTGCAAAACGTCGTTTTCGAAACTCGTTGGTTAATATACTATTTTTCAATTAAAAATGTCAAAAGTTGTCGTATCATTTTATTCAGAGTTCCATTTTCTATCAAAGTAAAAAATACTGAGAGTACCATTTAAAAATCCAAAGTCGTCACTTCCGGTAAAACAGGAAGTCACCGAAATTAATAATTGAATACGTTAATCAATCCCGATGTATGTGTATATTGTCTATACTAGCATACCAAATTTCATATTTTTATCTAAAAAAATAAAAAAGTTATAG